GTACAGGCCTGTTAGGTAGTGAGCAAACACTGGATGAAGACTCTTGCTATAGCTTTTTGGTACATTAAGAGGAATTTGGCTGAAGATTGCTAAATCCTGCCCTTTTTCTGTGTGATGGAAAATGTTGCTTAATAACCTGGTTTTTTTTTTTTTTCCCACAAGGCCACTTTAAATTAGCATTCTAAGGCATTTGAAATTATGGATGTACTCATGTGACTCTTGAAATAACTAGGCTCTCACCAGAGGAGCATAAATGATCATCTATTGATACACACATGTATTTAAGACATAGATTTTTTCTAAAGATTGAGTTGAAGCTGGTTTCCTGATGGAAAGACACCTGTGCTGATCATGAAGAATCATTTGTTAGCTTGAGTTGTGATTATGAGACTTATGCAGATTTTCTTTCTGAAAGCATTAAGCTTCTTCAGTTGAAATGCAGGCTCACAATATCACTGGCAGATGGTCACCATCCGGCATGTGAAGGGCAGGCGTCCTTCTTTGTTCCCCATTATCCTCATGGTTAGAGGTCATATGACTTTGAAGTTAAGTGAAAATTTAGCTGTATTGACCAGATACTAATTTGTATACCATTTTTATACTATTGACTTTTGTGTATTTGTTTCTGTTTAGAGTTCTGATGGATCTGTATGTTCTCTGGGCTCATGATTCTTTCCCGCTCTCTCACACACACTCACTCCTGCATGTATTAAAGTTTGTGGGTCACCAAATGCTGCGACCAGGCAAACATTTACAGTGTCGTTTCTGATCTCAGCTGGTTTACTTAGTGAGTGTGGGCTTTATCAGGATGGCTTAGATCAGTAAATCATATTTTCTGCCTAACAAAGTGAACTTGTTCAGTAGAAGTAGTATTTGTAAAGCATGTTTTTCTGGCTTTTATTCTTTTCCCTTCTTGGGCCTCTCTAGTCCCCCTTATTGTGCATGTGTGTATGTTCCTGAACTGCACCCCTGAGACAGAGTATACAACTGAGAAGAAGCGGGGTGGGAGTTTGGAAACCTGAGGCAAGATTGAGAGACTAAGATATAAGAGATCTCAGGTCTGGGTTAGGTGTGAGGAAGCCACGGTGAGCACAGCGGGTCAGGCAGCCATAGGACAGCAAGGTCAGAACTGGCAAGAGGTGACATAGGCAGGAGCGGGAGCAGGGAAGTGGGGGTATTGGAGTTTGATGGGAGCAGTGTGAGAAGAGGGCTCAGAAGGGACACAAGGAAAAGTCCAGGTAACACCAGGAACCAGTTTATAGAAACTCAGAGAACTGTGACACCACAGGGCAGCAAACTTAGGACATCAGCAAGGAAGTTCTTTGGTATTTCAATGCATGCTGTGCTCTGGCCAAGAAACTTCATAGGCGTCGGGAGGGACCAGGGTGTGGGAGGGACCAGGGTGTGGGCTCCCATTGTCCACTTGCAAAAGCGGGTCATGGGTGTGTCTGCCGGAAGGGAAAGGGAGGTGACCTGGGAGTGTCCTGACACCTGAAGAGCGAGGTTAAGGGCATGTGGCAACGCAGGCCAGGTCAGCGCTTTGCTGAGCAGCAACTATGTGACTCACCAGTGCGGTCCTGATACACCCATCTCCCAGTTGGCAGTGGGGACAGCGCTCTAATTCTGCGCCACTTCAGATTATCCACAACCTGTGTCTGTGGGTTATCCTAGCTCTGCCCTTTAACTCAGAGGCATACAAAGGAACTACTGGGAGAGGGTGGAGATGCTGAAGTGGAAAAGCTGCTAGATAGTTAATATTTTGTGTGAAAATCGAACTCTTTTTCTCATTTTTGCATAGTAAAAGGAAAGTGTTACATTTGTCAAGGGGTGCATTGGTGCAAATACTCTAAATGAAGTTTATAAATGAAGTTCATGAGAGAAATGTACTGTGGTCACACAGCTTTGCTGTATGTTGCCTATGCGCTGTTAAAACTGACGCATACTAAACTTCCTAAGAGCAAAAACTTCTATTCAAATTGGGCAGTGCCAAACTGGACATGCTTAGGGGTTTCTCACCTACAGGAGCTTGGAGAGATTTTACAAAAAAAAGACTGAAGTAAAGCAAGAAAATGATAGATGGGCTTTAGCTTAACGTCTCGCTGGTTTGTGACTGGCCGTCACAGGCTTCCATTTTGTAAGCTTGGGGATTTGGAGGTTTTGATTTGAGTTTGCTTAAACATTAGAACCACCTCAGTCTAATGACCTGCGTGTCTAATTAAGTGAGCAATAAACTTAGGTCTGTAATATTTTATGCATGTATGCACTATAAATATATATATATATGCAAATATGTAAATTTATATTGCTTAGAAATTTCTGAGAATGAGATTTCCCATTTTTGTTTTTAACTTGGCACTTTGATTTCTTATTTAGACATTAGTATAAAGTTATTTTGTCTACTTTTTTAAAAAAAGATTTATTTATTTATGCATACAGAACTGGGGTACAGGCCAGCGGTGCAGGGGTGGTGAGAGGCTTGACCAGAGACAGAGTGCAGAGCAGAACAGGTAGATTGATGAAGTACTCTGCTGAGGGGAGCCACACCTCACCAGGGCGGGTGGGGATTGAACTCATGCTGAAGTGGCTTTAGCTTCTTAGTGCTGTGCTTTAACCCACTGTGCCACCAGGGAGGGCCACTTTGTCTACTTTTAATTTATATTGTGAAATTAGATCAATTATGAGAAAGAACTAATTAACCTTAAAAATCTCATATTTCATTAGGCTCATTTCTAATCATGCATCTCTGTCAATACATTTGCTATTTAACTTAAGTTTTTTCATGTGTACCTTTGCATTAATGATATAATTTACTTAGCATTTATTCTTAATAGCATTATTACATGGTGATGTACCATATTTAGATTATAATTCTCTAATTTGTAACTTTCTGGGTCAATATTTTTATTTTTAATTATTGAAAATACTGTTGGTATGAACATTACTATTATTATTATTATTATTTAAAGATTTATTTATTCGTACAGAACTGGGGTACAGGCCAGAGATGCGGAGGGTGAGAGGCTTCACCAGAGACAGAGTGGGGAGCAGAACAGGCAGATCGACGATGTACACTGCTGAGGGGAGCAGCAGGAGAGGAGAGGTCTGCCGCGCTATGTGGTCACCTCCGGGGCAGGCGGGGATTGAACTCATGTGGAAGTGGCTCAAGCTTCTTTGTGCTGCGCTTTAACCCGCTGCGCCACCAGAGAGGGCCCCTATGAACATTTTTAAACAAATTGTTTTGGATTGTTCCCTTGGAACGTTTTCCCCAAAGTGAAATTAACAAGTCAAAGGGCAGGAACAACTTTATAGCTTGTTATATATTATCAATTGTTTTCTAGAAAGATTGAACTAATTTGCTTTACGACTACCAGTGTATAAGGCACAGTCCCCGTTTTAGAATCTGAGCACACATGAGAAGTATAATTACATTTCTACCCTGAAGCCTAGCTGTAAAGATAACTCTCATAAGTAAACTCAGTATGTGGACTTTGAAATTATGGAACTGATAAAGCCTGCAGCTAATTTGTTCTATAGTTAGGACTTTGGGACTGGAGGACATGCTGTGTTGAGGTGGAGCCCCCTTTTGGACAAGTGTGGTACTTTGCTGCCGGTCTGGAGCTGTCAAGGCCGCAGCAAAGGGGAAGGACAGCGTTTCCCCGCATTTCTGTCAGAATGGTCTGCAGCCGGGCGAGGAACTTTTGGAGGGGTTCAGTGAGGGATGTTCAGCTGGTTCACTGGGGCCACCATTATTGAACTTTGTACCCCCTGAGCGGCTGCTAGTTGCAGGCCTTCCTCATGGAAAATATCACCTCAAGGGCACTGGGGCGGTTTCTCCCCCTCTGACAACATTATGAATTTTGTAATGGGAGTTTATAGAAATTATGGATTCTGTTCTATAAGGATTTACTTGCCTAATCTAGAAAGGTTCTTTTGCCCTACTTCTGACAGGGGGAAAAAACAGACCTTTCTCTGAGAAATAAATTTCCCTCATTGCTCATGTATGCTGACATAGCATAGTACCTTTGCCAGCTTCCCCAGTGACTTGCAAAATTGTGTAATCTAAATCCAGAACATGTAACAGCACATTGTAAACTGGCCTTTGTGTGCACTTACTGCACAGGACAAACATATTCTCTAGATCATGCACTTCAGAAAGGCAACAAGGAACAAAGATGAAATCATCGATAAAATCATCATGTGTGTACATCAAAGGAAGTCAGTTGAATGGATAGTGTTATTGACATTCTGAGCCATAGCGTTAAATGAAAGTTGAGATATAAACTTGTTTTAATTTCCAGACTCCAAATTGAAAGTAAGCATTTATGGGCAGAGAGAGGTAGTGAGAACGTTCAGAAGCTAGCAGGGTAAGAAAGAGACACGTCAGAGCTCTCATTTGACCTGATTAGAGAGGGAGAGAGGGAGGGAGGGAGAGAGGAAGGGAGGGAGGGAGGGGTGGATGGACGGACCATTGGCTTACACCACTCTGTAAGTTTCAGTGCACAGCTTCACACCTTGGTAAATGCATATAGCATAACTGACCTGTCACCAAAATGCTTGCATCGATCATCGCTATCAAACTGACCCTTTCCCCTCACTCCTCCCACCTCCCTATACCTTCCCTCCTGAAGCCACTATTTTGTTAGAATCAAGGGCCTGTTGTTTAAGTTGTATGTTGCTTGTTTGTAGGGTGGGATGCATTCATTTTTCCTGTCATTTTGTTCACTAGTCTCATTATAATAGACCTGTGAATGCATGTAGCATAATTTATACAACCACACTACTCTGACAGTGAAGTTGTCAAAGCTCATATGAGTATTATAAAGAATGTAAAATCTTCTCTCTGTAATTTAACCCTTCATTTCATTGTCATGAGAGATGTGTCTTCTTAAGAGTCATGACCCCTGCATTTTCTGCAAAGATTTTATACAATCACCAGTGGTGTGTCTTTGTAATGATGATAAACATCAGATGGATGACAGAATGTTTGACTTGGTTAACAGGTTGTGAAAATCTTAGAGAAGCATGACCCCTTGAAGAACACCCAGGCGAAATACGGATCCATCCCGCCAGATGAGGCCAGTGCGGTGCAGAATTACGTAGAACACATGCTCTTCTTGTTGATTGAAGAGCAAGCCAAAGATGCTGCCATGGGACCTATCCTGGAATTTGTGGTCTGTGAGAACATCATGGAGAAACTTTTCCTTTGGAGCCTGAGACGGGAATTTACTGATGAGACTAAAATGGAGCAGCTAAAGATGTATGAGATGTTGGTCACCCAGTCCCACCAGCCTCTGCTGCACCATAAGCCCATCCTGAAGCCCCTGATGATGTTGCTGAGCTCTTGTTCGGGAACAACCACCCCCACTGTGGAAAGGAAGCTGGTAGTTCTGCTCAATCAGCTCTGTTCCATCCTTGCCAGAGACCCATCCATTCTGGAACTTTTCTTCCATACTAGTGAGGACCAAGGGGCTGCCAACTTCCTCATCTTCTCCCTTCTCATTCCCTTCATTCACCGAGAGGGGGCCGTTGGCCAGCAGGCCCGGGATGCTTTGCTCTTCATCATGTCTCTCTCGGCCGAGAACAGTGTGGTGGCCCATCACATCGTGGAGAACACCTACTTTTGCCCAGTAAGTTGCGCCCGGTGGCATGTTTTCATCCTGTCTCCTTTTTGCTCTTGAACTTATACTGAGCACTTTTTTATGTCTTTCTTTTCAGCAAGCTGTAGTTGGCACCTTTTATGGAAAGATGTTCAGAGCAAATCTTTTGAAGGGAGCAGAGAAATCTAAGTTGAGCGATTTGACTGAGCAGTGTTAACTCAAAATCAGCCAACACAGGAAGTTGTATGTGCTGTTAATTCTTGCTACATTTCTGTTGGTGTAGGGAATTTTTTAGTTTTTCCTAAAAGCATAGCCAGAGTGATTGGTAAAACCTGCACTGTCATAGTCTTAGCTCTTCAGGTGGATTTTGAGCCAGTGAATCATGGCATGTGTGGAGACCCCTCACAGCTGGCTTCACAAATTAATTTGTTTCTCAGCAAGATAATAACCATAATTGTAGCTGAAAAGCACAGATTTTATTTAGAAAATACATATTTACAATTTGAGGAAGCAAGAAATCCTCGAGTCTGTCAAGTTCCTTAATTATTGGTATCCTGAGAAATAAAGTAGAAGGTCCTTTGCAGATGAGCAGCCAAGACCCAGCCTCAGCTCCAGGGAAGAATGGGAGCACGCGGGTCTCCAAAAATGCCTTAGTGCCTTGGTTATTTCTTGGTGTTAGTATCATCTTTGAAGGGGGATTTAAATTACAAATTTATAGGTTTATATCTTCTGGCTTATCATGTCACTTGGACAACAGCTATTTGTATTTTCCCAGTTTATTTTCATTGTCTCTTCTCTTTACCAGTTACCTCTTTGTTTCTTTATCAACTATATTGTCTCCAGTATGCCTGATTCTGCTGAAGTAGTGTGGAACACCACTAGAGAGTTTTATTAGGAAAGGTCAGACAAGTTGCCATCAGTAGAGCCAGATCTGTTGTTAGTGAACACTATCTTGGTGTTCTTTATCTGGGGTGAAGGCATTTAGAAATGACGTGAAGTGTGTTTGGTTGTGACAGGTGGCTAGGCAGGGAGGGCCACTGGTTATTTCGAGTGCAAGGGTCAGGTGCTCCCCGGATCAACATAAAACGGCAACTTTAAGGAGACACCATTTACAAAAGCGGCACAATCCTTAGATGTGGTGAAGGAATCTAAAGAATTTGTGAGAGGCCTTTACAGAGAGGCCTTCTTTATTGAAGGGCATAAAAGAAGACTTTACTAAATGACAACCTCTACAGTTTTCAGATATTATATAAATTACATGTTCCCACAAATCAGTCCATAAACTATTTTTCACAGCTTTTTATTATATAAGAAGTGAAATACAGGAGACTTGAAAGAAAACGGAAATGAACACTAATATTAAGCGAATTCAAAATTGCTAATACTTTGCCACTATTTGGAATGTTTATCATCTATACTTTTTGTTTTATATATAGCATTTGACATGTTGCAGACACCAAATACTTTAGCATGTTCTTCCTATGACTAAGGACACTCTCCTACATAATCACAATACCATTATTACCTAAGAAAATTATACAGGAACTACACACTATAATCTTATACCCACTTCTCCAGTTATTTCCAAAATGGCTTTTATAGATTTTTTTCCCAGTCAGAGTACAGTACCAGGCACACCTCTTTAGTCTCTGTTAATGACCTGTATCAACCTGCAACTTGCTTCATGACACTGACTTTTTTTTTTTTAAGATTTATTTATTTGTGCACACAGAACTGGGGTACAGGCCAGAGGCTCAGGGGCGGCAAGAGGCTTCACCAGAGACAGAGTGGGAAACAGAACAGGCAGATTGATGAAGTACACTGCTGAGGGGAGCAGTAGGTGGGTCAGGAGAGGTCTGCCACACCATGTGGTCACCTCCAGGGCAGGCGGGAATCGAACTCATGT